GTACAGCTAGACAAATCTGGGGTTCTTGTCCCATGGCTTCTGTGTACCTGAGAAGGGAAAATAGCTTAATAAAATCCATTTTTGGAGCTTCTCTCTCTTCCCTTTCTCCTTTAGAATTATCCGTGTCCAGCCTCCTGTCATTTCTTTTCTTTTTCTTAAGAGATGTGCATGCTTTTAAGATCCTATTCTTGTCACCACTTGTGAGGGTTCTTTGCTTTCCAAGGACTGGACACACCATATCATAGCAGATTTGTACACTAGCCTTCCCAACAACTGGCTATTGCTCTCCATCCTGCTAGGATTTGCAAAATGATGTCCAAACAAACTCTCAAAGTCTGTAAAGTGACATAGAACCTTTGTCTCCTACCAAAAGTTCTTACTCGTTGGGATGAGGTGCTGCCTCAGTGTGGCTATTTCTTTCCTAGTTGCTCCCAAGCTCCAAGCAGGAATCCCATCATCGTTTGTGGTCCTGGTAGTCCTCTTGTCAGCTTGTAATAGCTGCCAACCTCCAGACATTGCCTCTACTTCCCCATCTGCTTTTCCCCTCACACCTGTACACTCCATCTTAGCATTTGCTTTTGTAAACTAAGGGTCTGGATGGGATGAAGCAACTCTGGACTATAGTGGCCTTGAAATGCAGCGTGTAGCTCAATTAGTCAGGCAGCTAGAAGGCTGGTGTGGATACTTATGAGTAAATTTGCGAGTGAGCAAGTGAGCGAATGAATGAATGCATGAGCCCATCTCTCAGGTTTCCGGGTTATAAACTTTTACAGCCTATAAAACAAAAGCAGTGCTGGGCTTTAAGAAAGTGGAGTGGGAACTGTTTCTACTGGCTGCAGCTGCTTTTCCCAAGCACAGACAACAATACCAGTTTCATTTCGTCACAGAACCCTATCTATCTATCTATCTATCTATCTATCTATCTATCTATCTATCATCTATCTATCTATCTATCTATCTATCTATCTATCTATCTATCATCTATCTATCTATCTATCTATCTATCTATCTATCTATCTATCTATATGATTTTTTTTTAAATTAAAAAATGAAGTTATACAGCTTTTTTAAAGACATATTAGCACATGCTGAATATTTACTATAGTCTTTCTCATTTTTAATGGTTTATATAACTAACTATTGCAGGAGTTAATTGTTATCTAATTTAGATAACAGTTCTGAAGTTACCTTTTCTTGTTTAGTAATTTTCAATATGTGCCATTTTTGTATTTGTTGGGTTCAGTTTTTTACTTCCTTTTTTTATGTACCCAAAATCGCATTTTCTGAATTTTGCAGTCATTAAAATACTTTAAAAAGATATATATATATATATATATATATATATATATATATATATATATATATATGCATGCATGCATACATACATACATACATACATACATACATACATACACACATACAGTACCTTGAATCGAGGTAGAAAAATGGTTTATGGGACTCAGTAAATAGCAAAATCTATTATTACAGAGCTCATTACAGGGAATTTTAAGCTTAAGTCAACAGTTTCCTTTTAATAATAAATATTCTTGGGGATATTATTTCATTTAATGTGGATTGCGAAAGCACCAGTATATGACATGTAGATCAGAGATGGGTTTCAGCAGGTTCTGACCAGTTCTGGAAAACCGGTAATGGAAATTTTGAGTAGTTCGGAGAACCAGTAGTAAAAATTCTGACTGGCCCCACCCCCATCTATTCTTTGCTTCCCAAGTCCCAGCTGATCAGGAGGAAATGGGGATTTTGCAGTAACATTCTCCTGGAGTGGGGAGGGAATGGAGATTTTACAGGATCCTTCCCCTGCCACGCCCACCAAGCCATGCTTGTTAAACCATGCCATGCACACCAAATCACACCCACAGAACCGATAGTAAAAAAATGGAAACCCACCACTGATGTAGATGTACAACCTCAAGTCATCAGGACATGCTTCAGAAGAATATGCCACTGCTGCAGACCTATGAATTTTGGCTCTGAGGCTGCAGGCATGATCAGTAACATTATGCAGCAGATAGAATCAAGTCAAGAGTCACTCACCCTATCCAGGGCTAAGTGACAAATGGATGGAGTAAAAAAAGAAAAAAAAGATTTTAAAACAATATTGCAAAGAAAATTTGATTCACAGTTGCTATTAGAAAAGAAATCTGTGCTCTGAAGAGATAAAAGTGAAGATGCATCTATCAAAGCAAGATTGCTGAGGCAAGAACTGCAGTAATTCAAGAAACAATTAGCTGTCACTCCTAAGGGGAAGCAGACTGTGAAAAGTAGTTAGCCGATGATATCATCTTTATATTATGAGTGGCTTCAGAGGAGAATTCTCACTTCTAGGAACAAAAAATGATAGTGAAACCTGGAGAAGTGGTCTAATCACTGGCTATTCACAGTTGTCAGAATCAACTTGTTTTAATTTTAAACCCTGTCTGTTTCATTCAATCTGCCATAATCACTGGCTGGGTTCACTTATTATATTAAAGTATTAGAATATAAGAACAGCCGTGTTGGATCAGCAAAAGCCCATCCCAGTTTGGCTTTTTGGTTGTATAGTAACCATGTAGATGCCTCTTGGGTGCTTGTGTAGCAGGAAAAAGAAACATATTTCTCACAAAGTTATTTCTCTGCAATTATCTGCAGGCACACCATCCCCAACCCCAAGACAACAATCTAGCAGCCCATAATAGACTTGTCCAGCATGAATTTATCCAATTCTTCTTTAAAGTCATCCAAGGTGGTGTCCAGCACCACATTTTGGACAAGTTAATTATGTGCTATGTGAAGAAAAGCTTGCTTGTGTCTGCACTAAATCTTCTTTCAATCAGTTTGACTGGATGACTGCTGGTCTTAATGTTTGAGAAAGGGAAGAAACTTCTTCCTATCTATCTTCTCCATGTTATGAATGATTTCATCCACCTCACTCGTGTCCTTTCTCACACGTCTTTTTTTTTCCCAAGTTAAAGTGTCACAAGTAAATGCCTTATTCTCTAATGTGTAAATAGTATATGAACGGGATGTCAGGGGTTAATTTATTCTTCACTTCTTAATGTATTCATACTTCACCACTCCCATATCTAGCTCCACCCATTGTATATATAAGGAGCTACACACACTCTCTTCTTTGCTTCTATCTGTGAATATTCAGTGAATATAGAATGCCTTATGTAAATAAAAGAAAATATATTTGAACTCTTAACTCTCTCATAACTTATTGAGTCTGATCCAGAAAATATTGCAACATAAAGAATCACAAATATTGTAGCTAATTTCTTGCCAGGAAAATTTTCAAACTCCCTTAATAATTTTGGTTTTTCTCAGCAGCACTTTTTCCACCCATATTTTTTTCCCTTTTTCAAGCATAGAGATCTGAAATACAGACAGTTCTTCAGTTACAGACATACTGTACTGTAGATTTGTATAAGGATATTATAGTGGTAGCACTTTCCATCCCTTATAACTGAGATTGTTTGAAACAGGCACAATGTTCTGATTCATACATATTTGAGCCCTGTTTTTCAACGTTATATAGGTCAGGGTCTCTTTATTTCAATACACCAAAATGAAGCAAAGCACATTACTAATATAATAAATCTAGCTGTTGCACTATTAAACATCCTTAAAAAACATAAAATTAGTAAAAAGAATTAGTAAATTTTTAACAAATTTAAAATTAAAGCAAAAAAGAAAATTGTAGAATCTAAGGTTTATGCAAATAAAACTAAACCCATATTTTGAGATGGATAACCTGTGTTTTAAAACATTGCTTTGATCCATATTCTGAAAATTAACATTTTCAAAGTTAGCGAACAGTAAGCATGATATTAGAATATTAGCATCATCTAATGAATGAATTATTTTGATGAATCAGACAAAAATGTCATCTTATTCATCAGTCTATTTCAAGGAGTGAAATGAATTCCCCCTGAGAATGGCTCTGGAAAGGTCATTTAATAGTGTTCCCCTGAATCATGTGATATAAATATAATGTATTTAAAGGATTATTAATTATTATGGCTGGAATCATTAAAAATCCCATCTTCCATTTAGTTGCCTACAGATGTTTTACAGTTGAATTAGGCTTTTGGTTTTGGTTTTTTGTTATCGTTCACTTATTGTTTTATTTATAGAACACCCAAAATCTCTAAACTGAGCAATGTTCAAGGTCTCTAATTTGGCCTAGTCGATTTTCATGGACACCAAACTTAAAACAAGCAACCGATATGCCTTTTTACAAATAAATGTAAGCAGCAGGCACAAAACCAATCAGATTTTTAATTTTTAATTCTTCATGCTGCTGTTGAATTTTTGGAAATTGTAGATCCTGATCAACTCTTTCACATCCTTCAGATGATAAGTATGTTCCAGCCTGTCTGTTTGCAGTTTCTGCTTCTAAACCATCACAAAAACATCTAAAACAATACCCTGTGAATTTTGCTTGCTAATTACTGTGTGCATTTTATACAGAATATTTTCTTTTGCTTATGTTTTTTTGTAAAGGACTCGCATAACATTGCTATATTATTAACTTGCTAAGTATTTCATTTTTATTATGGTTTATTATTTTTTTATCCTGCCCATTCTCTCATCTTCATGGTTGAGCAGAGTCTTTTACTCATGTCTTTTCATTTCTTCTGAATTCTGCATTCTGACAGCTACATCACACTGGAGCCATGGTCTACTAGCTATATTTCTTCTGCCTATGATTCATTTAACCCACTCTGTTTCTATTACTGAAGTAAAAAAAAAAAAAAGGTGCACATTTTTCAGAATCTCACTATCAGATTTAGGAGAAAGCCCAAACTGAATAAATTTTATAGCATCTCAATAACTTACTATATTTTGGCATGTAATTCTAGTTTCTTTTTAGTCAAAAAATGAATCAAAATTAAATATTATGCAGTACTTAATAAAATATGCATCTTCTTGTGCTTTTGGGATATTTTATTATGCAGTACTTAATAAATAAAATATGCATCTTCTTGTGCTTTCAGGATATTTTTCCTCACCAAAATAAGAATCATCCCCAAAGGAGCTTTCTCGGGATTTGGAGAAGTGGAAAAAATGTATGTATTTTCAAATATACTCAGTATGTCTAGTTTATATATCTTCGTGCCTTGGTCCCTTGTATGCCTTCTCTTCCCTGACCCACAATGTTTTAATCGAACCAGCCTAGAGCAACTTCATGCCTTCTAGATATGCTCAACATCAGTTCCTATTATTCTCAGCCAATATACAGAGCAGACACTTATAAGAGTGACAATCCAATTATAAGAGCTATCAAATTGGTACAGATTGAATTAAACTGGAATACTGATGTGGATTTAGTGAATGATCTGCAGAGAGCAAAACAGAAGTAGCCTTCCAAAGCAGTGTTATCTAGCAACTCGAAAGATAGGGATAGAGATAGGGATAGGGATAGGGATAGGGATAGGGATAGGGATAGGGATAGATGGAGATGATAGAGATACACATACACACACATATGGGGTTTTATTATAACTCAGTTGAGCACCAAAACCAATGACAGAATAGACATTTGCAATGTTAGTTCAAGACTAAGCAGCAGCATCCATCAGGAGTCAGAATCCTATATAAGGCTTGGGGATGGCATCACAACATTGTGCTTGCCATCTTGCAGATTGGGGCATCCCAAATCTACAAAATGGCAGACATCCTTGCTCTTACTAGTTTGTTCAGAAAGGGCTTCTGAATTGAGCTTCAAATCTCTGCCCCAAAGTCCTGTCCTGATAGCATCAAGAACAACAGCAATTGTTATTGAGGACAATAAATTTCTCTTTTCTAAAATATGAATCATCAGTATCAAAAGTGCTTTTTCAAAAGGCAACTGGAGTTTCTTGTTTTTCTTTGAAGACATTTCGCTTCTCACCCAAGAAGCTTCTTCAGCTCTGACTGGATGGTGGGCCACTTGAATAGCCCTCTCTCAACAGAGGGGGAGGGATATAACATCATCTATTTCCAGTCTACAACACAGTCCTTTCAGGAGTTCCACAGAAGGCTCCACACCCATTTGCATTACTCAGGTGACCTTGAGGACACAGATAAGCCTTCAAGTGGTCTCAACATCTCTCTAAAAGAATGCAAATGACCAGCTGTCTGCAAAGAATATAAATCTTTCCATTCCCCATCATCCAGTCAAATCTGAAGAAGCTTCTTGGATGAGAAGCAAGATGCCGTCAAAGAAAAACAAGAAAGTCTAGTTGCCTCTTGAAAAAGCACCTTTGGGACAACCATGACCTGGATGATTGAGAATCTCTATAGACATCAGTAGAGGAACTTTCTCAAGAAGGAAAGTGGAGTGGGATTGGTTCCTTCACCCAAAACAAAATAATTATATACTTGAAGTCTTTATGTCTGCTTTTTGATTTTATCAATATGCTAAGACAAAGCCAAACAAGGCAAATTACATATCAGCCAATTCCTAATTATTCACAAATCATAATTAAGGATACCATGGCTTATCTCATCAGAGCATAGTGTACAAATCCAGCTAAACATAATAAATATACCATATGGTAACACAAGAAATCTGCAACCAATAATTCCATTTAACGCAAATAGAACTTCTTGCAATTCAAAATATTCCTTTGGCCACCAATTGAAAGTTGCTTCTCAGTAGATAACATTAAATCCTGATTCCTGGAAAAACAGCACACATGGCACATATGTAAATTGCAGTGTGAAGGTCATATCCATCAAGCAATTTGATAAGAGCCCATATTTATTATTTAATTCTGTAGCAGAGAAAGAAATACCCAGACTCTCTCATGATCCCAACTCAGCGAAGCTCAATCATCTATTTCAGAGAATACACTTATTCAACGACTTAATGTTTCTCCTAAGACACCTGTCCACCAAGCTCTTCATTCAGACATGCATTTTCACTACCAGCAGAGACTTTGGAGGGATTGGCCTGAATCTAGTGTGAAAATGAAAGGATGGATGAATTTTTAATTCATGAAATCTCTGTGGGAAATATATATTTATTGTGAGATTTATTTATTTATTTAAGCAGATTGGCAGGTTGCTAGCATGCCATATGTGTATTGAAGTATCTAATTTGTATACTGCAAACGAAATGAATTTTATCACCTAGAAGCATTACATTATTAATAGTTGTTTCCTTCAAACAGCATACTATTCATTTTAATACTGGTGCGCATGTGTGTGCATATGTACAACCATGATGTTATAGAGGGGGAGGAAGAAGCTCACACAAGGAGTTTCTTGTTCTATGTGCAGATATATCACTTGATTATTTAGTTTGTGTCCAACAATTATCGTGACTACTGCCGATAAATGTTTTAAGGCTTATATGTTTGATTTGTGAGCTATTTCATATTTCATTGCTACTTCTCATCTGCAGATGCTGCTGATGCTGATTGCTCTCATTTGCATATTCATTACACACCCCTGTTTTCAGAGCAATTTCCCCACAGAGTTGCCATAGCACATTGGTGTATTTTCAAAAGAAAGTCACTCTTTAGCATTTAGAGTTTTGTCTTTCGATTAACAGTATCTGTCCCTTGTATCACCTCCCCAATCAACACTCTTTCACATATTATACAAAGTGGGCAGCTCGTTTCCAGGTAATGAAAGATGATGTAAACATTTTACAGATAGATTCATCAGTTGTCCCTACTCTCTAAGGAATCTTGGTAATTTGCTTAAACTGCCCACTCCAAGTAAGCTCACATAGAGCCTGCTTTATTTTCTGTCTTAGTTCCCCCTCAAGGCTCAGAAGAGACACCAAGTGGGAGAATTGCAATCTCCCAAGAAATCATTATTTAGCCTACTGCAACACTCTACACAAGGTTGTCCCTGAAGAGCATTTATAAATTTACTTGGTGCAGAAAGCGGCTGTGCAGGTAGTAAATGGTGCCAGATATATATGGCGCATTTGACACCACTTTTGTGTGACCTGCATTGGTTACCATATGCTTCTGGGTGAAATTCATGGGGCTGGTTGTCACCTTTAAAGTTCAGGTTACTTGAGGGATTGCCTTTTTCCAAGAGTTTCTACTCATCTACCCATTCAACATGATCTAGTAGATCAGCCAAAGAATGTCAGTTGGCAGAGAAAACATGCTTTTTTTCTGCAGAGGCCCCTGGTCTATAGAACATTATCTCTTTAGAGATTACAATGGCCCCAACCCAGTCAGTCTTTCATGAGGTCCTATAACCCTGGCTAGGTTTACAAGCCTGGAATACTGAATTTGTTAAGGGCCCCATTTGCTGGCTTTATTGCTAACTGGTCAGGTAACTCAACTGCTATGAATATTTGTTTTGGATGTTTTTACTGTTTTAAAATGTTTTAGTGTTTTCATTGTAATATACAGTATGTTTTAAACTGTAAGCCACCCAGAGTCATTGGCTGAAATAAACATCTATAGAAATTGAATAAATAAATAAATCAACACACACATATCTTGACTTTCCAGACTACAAGATACCACTTTATTGACTGTTTTAAACTCAAAATATTTCAATAACACCTGCACCCATGTCATAGAAATGAACAACTCCAAAGAAAACTTTTGAAGGCTTCTTTATCTCACTGAACCTGAAGTTCTCCTTTATTGAAGGGGAACATCCCATCCCTCATCTTCCACACTATCTCCTTAAGGTTCAGAAAAATTCTACCCTGTCTGAGAATAACAATGAATTTGGTCCATCCCATGCAAGATTTGCCCTAGCAAGAATACTTCTGCTCCAGTCAGCTTCTCAAATGAATCTGGATGAGACTGGACATCACGCAAGTCTAGCTTGCAAGTAAGGCAGAAAAGCCCATAGCCATTTCTTGCTCCTCCTAACATTAAAAATCACAAGTTCTGAAATAAATATAAGGTACTTGGTTGCCCTTTCATGATATCCAACATCAGTTGTCTAAAACCGCTGCCATCTCTAATACAAGTGTCAATCCAGCTTTATTAAACTACTTATCCCCTTGTTGGTCAAAGTATGAAAGAATGCATCTCCATATCCACCCATGATCCTGTACAGCTTTACTTTTAGCCTTGTGAGCTGAGAGAGTAGCATAATACTGCAGAAACAAGCAGTGAAGTCCAGATTTTGCTATTTTCCAGAACCATTTATATGCAGTGAACCTAAAAATACAGGCATAGTTTTTGCAGCATGGGATTCTCTTAAATCTTACACTTACTTGGAGAACATGGGGAAATCACTTTCCCCACTTCAAATGGGGAAATCTAGCAATTAGAAGTTTTATTTTTTAAATTTTATTTTAACATAAACATATTCAAAAACAAAAATTATCAATCCACAGCACTCGACTGTCTGATTATTCCTTACAAATCCAAAATCAAATCTGGAACATACAGCTTGCAAAAAAAAAATATTTTTAGAATTTAACTACTCTATGAATAATAACAAAAATGAAACAGACCATAACTTAGACTACGACAGGCTAGGGAAGCGAATTCTTCATTTCATTCCAAGAGTGAAAGAGTGGACATGTTATGCAAGAGTTACAAGACCACTAAGCAAGTGAGCAGGTGGTTCCATGACATTATGCATTTGTCCAGAAGGAGAGAAAGACCCATGAAGTTGCTTGGGTGGAGTGGAGGTATTGGCTGGGAATCAGGAATGGGCAAATTTTCTAATTCCAACCTAGGACGTCAGTCTAAAGCAAACCTTGTTTGGTGAAAAATGCAATTCTTTTCCAATTCTTTGGTAGGTTCCACTGCATGGAACACTAGGCTGTCGGGTTTGCACTTACAAACCTTTTCAGAACTAAGAAAACAGGTTCTAGCCCCATGGCATCTGTACTTCCATCAGTTGCTAATAAGTATTGCTCTGAACCCATTAACTTCCGCCTCTAAGTTACCAGACACCTCAAAATGTGAGTTTACAGAAGATGCAATAAATGTAAGTTAGAAGAAAGGTCCTGTTCTCCACAGATTTATACAATCAAGGGACTTTGGAATAATGGAAAGACAGGCAACAAAAAACAACCTCAATGATAACATTCAAAACCCACCAGGAGAAACTTAAAAGACATTCTCAGGTATTCTGGGGAAAGGAT